AGAAATCATGTTGACTTCGTAAGAAGCAAAGCGTTTACTTCTTGGAAAAATTCCAGTACCCTGGCCCTGTAAGCTGGTTCCAGCCCAGGAAATCTGATCAACATCCGGAGGAGAAACTGATAGCTCCACAAATGACAAGAGGCTGGATATGTCCCCTCTCCCTCCGAGAAAAGGAGATGGCGACTACTCCTCCATCCTTTCCTGCTCAACCCTCCTGGCCCAGAAGTTCTACAAGGAACTTCAATGAGGGATGGGAAGGCGTGTCATTAATTAGTGAAGCCTTGTTTACTTAACAGACATATTCTTAAACAGCTCTTCCAAGGGACATTTTGACATATTACTTTAATTAGCTACAGAAGAATTGAGAGTGCAGAGAGTGTAAAATGACCCTCTCTGTTGTTTCCAGTTACTCTTATCTTTGTTTGCACCCAACAAGTACAGTGACAAGGTCATGGGAATCACTGCTGAGCTCTGGGAGTGTCCCAGTGACCTGAGGAGGGACTGCAGGGACTGCTTTCTTTCCTTACATCAACCTTCACCTACCTAGGGAGCAGCCACCTCGGTGGAGATTCCTGCTTTGGCATTCCCGACCTCTATTGATATAGACCTGTCTTAAAGGAAGCATCATGTTGTACAAATTTTAACACAGCTCTTAGGAAGGGGAACAGGCCTGGGAGCTGGAGTTCCCCTCCCAGAAGGGCAGAGGAACTCTTGTAGGATTGGTGGGAACAGCCTTAGTTGGTGTTTTTCACATGAGGTCTGACCCTGGTCTTGTCCTCCTTGTGCTCAGGATCGGAGGTAGGAAGTCACTTGAGGCTCCCCTGAGAGGACTGAGGTGACATCCCTCCCTTCCCACATGGGAGTGTCACTGTGTAGATTCCTGCCATGAATCTTCTACTTGTCCTGAAACAGGTCCCTTAGCCTCTGGAGGTCAGTCACTGTAATCAGAGGAGCTGGGTGGCAGGCTCTTTCCATCACCTGCAGTCTCTTCCTCTAAGGGGTGGCACATTCCCTTTCACTCTAGTCTCTAAGAACAGGCTCTTTCTTAGAAATCATCATCATGCACCTCTCATCTGAGAAGCTGTGTATATCCAAAGAGGCTTTTTCAGGTGGGGAAATAAGAGTCCTCCAGGAGAAATGTTGCCTTGTAAACAGTATGAGGGAGACACTGTCATTTGTTCTCAGCCACAAATTCAGTGCCTAGCATGGCACTTGGCATGCGGAGGGGTTCAGTAGGTGCTTGGTGGGTGCACAAATGAGTAAGTGAATGCTGGTGGCCATTCTGGGGCAGGGGTGACCCTTGGTATTCGATTGGATCTCCAAACCTGCCTTCCATCTAGCTCCTTCCCAGAGCCGGCATGAGGACTATGTAAACCTCCAAAGGTCCCCTAATCAAGCAGCACTTGAGGACTCCAGACAAGACCCACTCCATGAGATGGTGGCTGGCTCTGAGCCTGGAGCAAGGCTGTTTCTCTTCCTCTTTACCTCCCTTTGCTGTTCTCCCTCTCCTTCCTGCCCCCTTCCCACCTGGCTGCTGCGGGGAAGCTCAGTGCAGGTTTACTTTGCTTGAAGCTGATAGACTACATGGAAATTTGGACTTCCACTGGAGACAAACTAGGAAGTAAATCACAAAAGGATATCTGGGAGGATGCTTTTAAATAGCAGGGTCCATGAATGCATTTTAAATTATTTAGGGAAAAACTTGACCCATAAACTATTAGGCCTGGAAAAGGATTTCGGAGGTCATCCAGTGCCCTACCCAACCCCTGCCCCAGGATGTTCAGATCCTCTCTGTGATACTCTCACTCACTCTTCAGAAACACGGTCTATCCATCCTGCACACTGCTGCTTGAAGTCTAAAACGCCCTTTCAAAAATGCAAGTCTGATCCTGTCTCTGCTCGACTTCAAAACTTCCCACATGTTGTGACTCCAGGCTCCTTACCGTGGCATGGCAGGCTCTCCAGGTCCCAGCTGCTGCCCCACACAAGACTGCGTCTCCACCCCGTCCCCACTGTCCCCTCTTCTCTCTCCCTCCACCCCATATCCCAGACATTGCACTCCAGGAGCAACAAATGCATCCACAGCATGTACCAAGCTGTCTCACATGCATGTTGTTGATCCATAGGTCTCCACCATCTACAATCCAATTCACCGTCTTCAGGGAGTCTTTTCTGCCTGCCCTTCCCACCACCTCCCTAGTTAATCCCACCCTCCTATGGCCTATGTCTAGGCTTTGTACCTGTTTCTTTTTTTCTTTTTTCTTTTCTTTTCTTTTTTTTTAGATGGAGTTTTGCTCTTGTTGCCCAGGCTGGAGTGCAATGGCATGGTCTCGGCTCACCACAACCTCTGCCTCCCAGGCTCAAGTGATTCTCCTGCCTCAGCTTCCCGAGTTGCTGGGATTAGAGGCATGCACCAACACGCCTTGCTAATTTTGTATTTTTAGTAGAGTTGGGGTTTCTCCATGTTGGTCAGGCTGGTCTCAAACTCCCGACCTCAGGTGATCTGTCTGACTCAGCCTCCCAAAGTGCTGGGATTACAGGCGTGAGCCACCGTGCCCGGCCTACTTTGTACCTGTTTCTACTCTGAGCTTATCCCACTGACTTGTGTCTTACCCCTGATAGACTGTAAGCTCCTTGAGGTCAGGGACTATGTCTTTTTCATCATTTCTAACCTGGCCCATAGGCATCTTCTCAATGTTTGAAGAATTAATGTGTATAGCATAGCATGCTAAAGGGTTCTGTGCTTAAGAAGCAGTATTTAAGGAGTCAAATAACTCCATCAGGGTCCCATAGACAAATTAGTTACAGAAGCAAACCTATTCCTCAAAGTCTTACAGTCCAGAGCATTCCATTCAACATCTGGCAACTACTCCTGGAAGGGGAGCACCAAGCAGGCCTGGACTCTGTCACCTGAGACGCATTCATGCATCCCACGAACATTTATCATTAGTAGTAATAGTGTGATTATTGGTACTGTTACCTACCACGTGTGGACTTTCTCTCTGCCAGGCATTATGCTCAGCACTTAACACACATTCATCTCATTTCATTCTCCCAACAACCCGATAAACATTATTTCCCATTTTACAGAACGGGAAGTCTGAGCAGTTAATAGTACCTATTAAGAACCTGCTACGACTTCTGCATAAGGCTAGGAGATTCCATTTGTCCTCTCACTTTCAGAAACACCATTTCATTAGCCCACTGGCTTCTGTGGCACTTCCTCAGCTGGGTCCCCTGAGGTTTTGTCTGCCTTTTTCTGGAGCAAGCCCAAGTCTCTCGTCTATGAGTGCTGCTGCAGGCAGTGTCTAGAACTGTCTCCAGGTAGAGGGGAGGAAGAGGAATTCTTACATTTTCTTCATGCTGGGGAAAATGCATGAAACATGGCACCTTCTGCGGGGTAGGGAGTTGCAGAGGTCTGGAGTTTGTCTCTTAGACTGGCAATACAGAGGACAAGGGTGGGGGACAGGGTAGAGAAATAGAAGCATTAGAATGTATACTAATGCCATACACTACCAAAAACTTCATCTTGTTCTCAGCTGTTTTCCTAGTGCCCAGAGTAGTACCTGACACAGAGTAGGTGCACAAGAAATAATGAATGAATAAATGAATGAATGAATGAATGAATGAATGAGTGAATGAATGAATGAATGAATGAGTGAATGGTGGCTTCTAGTGTTCTCGCTCACTTGGGCCACGGTATTTGCCACCTAACTGGCTTCTTTGCTTCCAGCCCAGCTTTCTCATGACCTTCTCCACACTGTATTGACAGAGAATTCCTTCTAACACACCACTCCAGCCATGGCATTCCCTGGCCCAATGGGCCTGTGTCACTCACGAGGCTTCCAAGATCTTTTCCAGCCTCCTTTGCTGCACTCCTTCCCACCAGGTGTCCTGCCCCTGCCTTGAGTCTGCCCTGCAGAGCCTCACTGCACTACACAAACCTGCGCATCTCCCATGCACCTGCTCCTCTCAGCCTGGAACACTCTCTCCATCTTGTTCCTCTGGCCTGCTTGGCATTGCCTCTCTTAGGCCTTCCCCAGCTTCCCCAGGCAGAGATGGTTGCTGCTTTCACTGTGCTCCCATCTCACTTGGTTAAGACAAGTTTGATATCATGAGAGAAACTATTCAGTATGGTGTTGAAGAATTCTGGAGCTCGTTTGCTTGGACACACATCCTGGATCCACCAGGTACTAGCTGTGTGACCTTGGGCAAGTTACTTACCCTCTCTGTGCCTTAGTTTTCTTACCTGTAAAATAGGGACAGTCATAGTTCTTCTCTCACAGGGTTACTATGCGGATTAAGTGGGTCACTCATGTGAAGGGTTAGAGTAGTGTCTGGCACATGGTCAGCGGTAGATATGTATTATTATTGTTAACTATCCATTCTTCACATAGTACTTGCTATGCAAAATTTCAATTACATGCCTCTCTGTGTGCCTGGTGTACAGAGTCCATATGAAGATCCACACGACCCATTCTGAGATTTAGGAAGGAAGCTCTGACAGCATGTGGAAGTGGGAGGAGGGGAGAGGAGAGGCAGAAGCAGTTAGCAGGTATTGCTATTGTTCAGGTGAGGGAGAAAGGGGCAGATACCCCACAGGAGGGGTGGAAAGACTGAGCAGCTTTGAGAGAGATTTGTGAAGCAGAATTGACTCGGGGATCCAGTGGGTGTGAAGAATGAAGAGGCAGCAGAGATGGTGCCAGATTTCCAGCCTGAGTGACAGTGTTGGGGTTTGAAGGGGCCCAGCGAATAGCGTCCCACTCCCCGACTCAGATTCAGGGCCAACTAAGAGAAAGGACAAGAGAGGTGGGGCTCAGGCAGGTGGAGATGGAAATGCCGCCTTTATTCCAGAGGCAACTGCCTGGCAGGCCAGGCTCCTGTGTGGGGTCCCTGGGGCTTGCTGACACCTTAGCCCTGCCCACTGCAGGCTTCCCTGTGGGTGGGGGCAGGGTGGAGCCTGCCTGGCCAAGCTCCACACATGGCAGAGTGGCCCCTGCAGGGAGGCAGGGCCAGAGAGGGCTCTTCAATCCCAGTTCTTTCAAACTGGCCAGTTCTTTCAAACTCCCTCCCTTGGGAGAAGGGAGCAGAGTAAAGAGGGAGGCCCAGGATGTCACTCTAGCTAAGGTTTCTCCATCTCAGCACTGTTGACATTTTGGGCTGAATAATTGTGGGGGCTGTCCTGTGCATTGTAGATGATCAACAGAATTCCGTGCCTCTACCCACTAGATTCTAGTAGCACCTCTTCCCTGGCTGTGACAACCAAAAGTGTCCCCAGATATTGCCAAATGTCCCTGGGGCCAGAGAGCAGCAAAATCGCCGTAGTGGAAGACTACTGCTCTAGTCTGATGGAAGGGCCTTTGACTGGAAACACGCAGTGTGGGAAAATGGGTGCTGCCTCCCAGCTTATAAGCCAGGTGGTGGGGTCTGTAGATAGGGAAGGACAGATTGGGTGAAGGCTGGGTCTTCCTGACCTTTGCAGAGTCGGCTCTCTCTGTTTTTCTTTCCTTCCTGCTCCTCCTCCTGCCTCTCCTTGCCCACCTAACTTCATGGCATCCTCAGAGTCCAGCTACAACCCCTCCCTCTAGGAAGAGCTCCCCAGCTCCGCCTACTAGCTAACTTAGATCTCTCTGTGCTCCCTCCTCCGCAGCACCCCTCACCCTGTACTGCAAATGGTGAGCAGTTTTCTTGCTGTGACCCTAGCACCTAGCACAATGCCAGGGTCATCGAAGGTCTGCAAGAAGTGTTGTCGCAGGTGAAGACCCAGGGCAGCTCCTGTTAGCTCTTCTCCAGTGTTGCTTGAGTGCCAGGAGCTCTTTTGTGGGTGTCTTTGTGGAGCTGGTGGCCCAGCCTGTGCCAGGCAGAGTGTTCCTGTGGCTGCCTCTCTCCTTCATGTCTCAGCCCTCCTACAAGTGTCTGAAAGGCTGTGTTTTCTCTGCTTGTTCCCAACATCGGAAACATTTAGGCATCTTGTTTTCGTGAGAGCTTGGGGTGTGACCTTGGCTCTTTCCATAGTTGCGAAAGAACTGCTTGCCCCAAAAATTGCCCTGGAGGCCTCTCCCCACAGCTGCCTGACCTCACGTCAGAGAATCCAGGTTGCTTGGTTACTGGTTTCCAGGCCCAATTCAGGAAAGTCCTGAGGCCACAGAAAACTGAGTTTGGCTACATGGAACCCACAACTAAGGTCTAAAGACTATCTCACCTGTCAGCTCTCTGTGTCAAAGAAGGGGAACATGCAAGTTGGCTGCCACCTGCCTGGCCCTGGAGAGGCCTTCCTTGTCACTGACTTAACCCTTGAAACCGTGGCTGGTCATATGATCTCCATGGCACAGATGAGGACACCAAAGACCAACAAGATCGAGGAACATGTCCGAGGTCATGAGCTAGGCTGTGGTAGCGTTGAGATCCAAAGCCAGGTTGCTAACTCCAAACGTTGGTCTCACTCTTGTTTTTTTTTTTTTTTTCTTTTTTGAGACAGCGTCTTGCTCTGTTACCCAGACTGGAGTACAGTGGCACGATCTTGGCTCACTGCTGCAACCTCCACTTCCTGGGCTCAAGCGATTATCCTGCCTCAGCCTCCTGAGTAGCTGGGATTACAGGCGATGCCCCTTACCACACCCAGCTAATTTTGTTGTATTTTTAGTAGAGACAGGGTTTCACCATGTTGGCCAGGCTGCTCTTGAACTCCTGACCTCAAGCAATCCGCCTGCCTCGGCCTCCCAAAGTGCTGGGATTCCAGGCATGAGCAACCATGCCCGGCCTCTCTCTTTATCTCTCTGCCTCTTCACCTTGCTGGGAATTGTTCAAAAAGTTTGCTTATAGAGCATTTTTAAGAAATTATTGCCAGGTACGATGGCTCACGCCTGTAATCTCAGCACTTTGGAAGGCCAGTGTGGGAGAATTGCTTGAGCCCAGGAAGTTCGAGATCAGCCTGGGCAACAATAGCAAGACCCCACCTCCACAAAAAAGAAAAAAAAATAGCCAGGAGTGTTAGCACCCAACTGGAGTCCTAGGCTACTTGAGAGGCTGAGGTGAGACAATTGCTTGAGCCCAGGAGTTTGAGACTGCAGTGAGCTGTGATCGTGCTACTGCACTCCAGCCTGGTTGACAGTGAGACCCTGTCTCAAAAAACAGAAAATAAATTACTATTAAAAAACAATTCTTCTCACAGCTTGAAACACAAGTTTTCCCATCTCTGGCCTTTATGAAGTCCCTTCTTTTCCCCCTCCACACACCTTCCCTGCAGGAGAAGCTCACATCCCTTACCGAGGCACCCTGCACTCTGGCCCTGTGCCCCTCTGCCTTTGATATTTAGCCTTGCCTCATCTGGGCTGCTTTACCTGGATAGCCTCCCATTGCCCTTACACGGGGTGTTACACCTAAGATCACATGGCTGCTCCACTGACTATTGGGAGAGCTCCTTCAAGGAAGGCAAAGGCTGGGTTTTATTCATCTTTTCACTCCTAGGACCTTCTGCATTTCTGCATGGAGTAGCATGTACTATGTACTTCTCTAGTGCTACACCTGCCGGGGAGTGCTACTCCCAGTGCTCTAGCACATAGTAGGTGCTTGATACCCAAGCATTCAAGAAAACAAAACAGTTCAGTTCAAACTACTTTTTCATTCTATTTTTAATCTTTCTACCTGTTCTCCCCAAGGATTCAGATGTTCACAGTGGGGTGACAAGAGGCTCCCTGAGTCAGCCACACAAAATGCGAGGTCACTCCGGGTGCCAGCTGCTCTTCTGCTTCAGGCAGTGTCATCCTGCTCTGCTTTTCCCCCAAAACTCTATATCTCCCCTCCTCCTCTGACACTCCCTAGATAAATAGATTTTCTTTATAGACTTCAACCAGCCGATGATGAATTTTGGTAGCAGAAACATTTCTCACTTCAAATCAGATTGCAGCTTCCCATCTGGGGACCACGAAGCTGGGGCAGTGGTTCTCAACCCAGACTGTCCATTAATATGATCTGGGCAGCTTCTAAAAATACACAGCACTCAAACTCCCTCCTCAGACCAGTTCAATCCGAAGCTGGGTAAGGGACCTGGGTGGTGGCATATTTCTAAACACCTCCAGCCCAGGTGGTTCTGTTGGGCACCTAGGGTTCAGAGCCGCCAGCCTAGAGTCTCGTATCACCTGACAGCTTCCTGGGAATGCAGGCTCTCAGGGGCCACCCCACACCTACCGAATCCGAATCTGTATTTTCAACATGACCCTCAAGTGATTGGTAAGCACACTGCCTTTTGAGGAGCATTTCTTTAGAGGAAGAACAGTTTTTAAATAACTATGACAAATTGCAAGCAGTTTCTGTTGATTCATGTTATCAATTGGACATACTCATTCCCGTGCTTACTTAACACATATTAACAGAGAACCTGCTAGGTATCAGGCACTATGATGGTTTCTGGGAACACAAGGGCATATGTTTCTCTCTTGGCCTGCAAATTCCTGCCCAGAATCCCTTCTTCCTAGGCTCTGCCCTTTGATGGGAGCTATCCTTCATCTCCTTGAACTGACCCTCTCTCCAGCATCAACCCTTTCCCCTTCTCACCTCTTCATAAAAATTAGAGTCAGAATCCCTCTTTGTCACTTCTTGTCAATTGTGGTACTTTGATACCACAAATTGGCTGAAGACAGCCAGCTCTGAGTGTGTAAAGATAAACTGAGCCTGGGCAGCTCTGGAGATTGCATAACCTAGGATTGATTTCAGCTCCTTAGATCCAGAGGCAGAGGAGAATGTTCTTAAACCAATCTTGTACCTTCACTGTAGTATATAGCCTGGTTTCAGGACTCTGGGAGCTACAGTATGGAGCCTTGCTGTTCGATGTGTAGTTTGTGGACCGACATCATCACCACCACCTGGGAGCTTGTTAGAAATATAGAATCTTGGACTCCACTGCAGAGTTATTGAATCAGAATCTGCATTTTAACAAGACCACCAGGTGATTCACACACACATTAAAGTTTGAGAAGCACTGATATAGAACAGTGCTCATCAAATTTTGCAACATATTAGAATCATGTGGGAGCTTTTAAAAATCTGATATCCCATGATTATATATTAACAGCAACAAAAATTTGGTGCCCTTACTACACATCCTGTGCCAGTTAAGTCAGAATATCTTGAGATGAGACCCAAGCATTCGTATTTTTTTATTGTGATGCAATACACAGAACATAAAATTTGCAATTTTAACCATATTTAAGTATATACTTTAGTGATGTTATGCATATTAACATTGTTGTACAACCATGACCACCATCTATCTTTAGAACTTCTTCATCTTCCCAAAAAGAAACTCCATAATCCACTAAACACTCCCATTTCCCCTATACGCACCCCCTGGCAACCACCATTCTGCTTTCTGCCTCTATGAATCTGACTACTCTGGACACCTTGTAGAAGTGGAACATACAGTATTTGTCCTTTTGCGACTGGCTTATTTCACTTAGCATAATGTCTTCAAGATTTACCCACCTTGTACTATGTGTCAGAATTTCTTTCCTTTTACTTATTTTTTATTTTTTCTTTCTTCCTATATAAAAGCAATTCCTCCAGGTTTAAAGCTGAACAATACTCATTGTATGCATAGGTCACATTTTGTTTATCCATTCAGCTGTTGACGGACACTTGGGTTGCTTCTGCCTTTTGGCTATTGTGAATAATACTTCTATGAACATGGGTGTACAAATATCTGTTCATGTCTCTTTTTGCACTTCTTTCGTGTATATGCCCAAGTGGAATTGCTAGATCATATGACAATTCTAATTGGAATTTTTTGAGGAATTGCCATACTGTTTCTCACAGCAGCTGCATTATTTTACATTTCCACCAGCAGTGCACAAGGATTCCAATTTCTCTACATCCTCACCAACACTTATTTTCTGTTTTTGTTTTTTATTATAGCCATTCTAATGGGTGTGAAATGGTATCTCATTGTGGTTTTGATTTGCATATCCCTAATGATTAGTGATGTTTCATGTACTTATTGAGCATTTGTATATCTTTGGAGAAACGTCTATTCAAGTCCTTTGTTGTGAGTCAGGTTGTTTAGTTTTTTTGTTGTTGAGTTGTAGTTCTTTATATATTCTGGATATTAATACCTTGTTACATATATGATTTGCAAATATTTCCTCCCATTCTGTGAGTTCCCTTTTCACTCTTTTGATAGTGTCCTTGGATGTACAAAAGTTTTAATTTTGATGCAGTCTGTTTTAGCTATTTTTTCTTTTGTTGCCTGTGCTTTTGCTGTCTTATCCAAGAAACTATTGTCAGGCATGAGAATTTTTTTAAAGCTCCCCAGATGATTCCAATGCATAGCCAAGATGGAGCAGTGTTTCTCAAATTTTAACATGCATTGGAATAATCTGAAATCTTGTTAAAATGCAGATTCTGATTTATTAAGTCTGGAGTGGGATCCAAGTTTCTGCATTTCCAACAAGCTCCTAAATGACGCTGATGCGCTGGTCTGCCGACTGCTCTGAGCAGCCAGGGTAGAGAAGAGCATTTAAATGATTTAGTTTATCTGAACCCCCCAAAAAGAGGGTAAATATTATATTTACAGACCGTCTTCTAAGCTTCCTCACCATAACCATTGCCCAAAAAATACACCATCAAGACAGCCCACTGCTTATCCCTGACTTTCAAACTGGTACTGAGCAGCCCGGTGGGTGCATTGAGTGTGTTTGGCGTGGCAGAGGAATGAAATGTAAAGGACTTATTCTCCCCGCCCCACTCTCTCCCTGGTCTCTGGGGGAGGCCAACCACTGCTCTACTCATGCTGGGTGAGTTCAGGATCCACATGATGGCTTGCTCCTCTCTGGCCTTGGCCCTTGTGAGGCAACTACTCTAGAACCCTGCTGAAAAGCTTGTCTTGTTCAAAATATGTTTCATATCCTCAGAAAGGAAAACCACATTGATTGGCCTGAAGTTTATAGAAGCAACTCAGGAGGGAAAAAACTGCTGAAGGTCTGCATCTAAAAAAAAATCCTTTAATTCATCATAGAATTTTAGAGCCGGAAAGGACCTTTAGAGAACTCCAAACCTTCATTTTGGAGAAGAAAACTGAGACCCAAAGAGGTTGTGACTTGTTTAAGGTCACCCAGGCAAAATAGAGGTCAGCCAGTGGGTGCATTATTTCTTTCTCATCTTGCTTTAAGTTATTTATCTGGAAACGGATAACACAGAGCAGCTACTTCTTTCGTATCTCTCCTTTTCATTAAAAGAAAAGGTAAAACTAAAGAGGCTAGATCATGGTTCTTGACTCTCAGGGCCTTCATTAGAAAGGTTCTAATGATTAGAACTTTTAGGCTTATATTACCCCAATGGGACCAGCCTCACTGGTGGCCATGACCCAAATTGCAGGTGTGGTGCCTGGGAGGAACTAACTAGCTTCTAAAACACATGTCGGATGCCACTTTTCTCTTCCATGCCCATTGCTGATGTTGTAAGCTGATCACAGCACTCTTTTCAGCCACTGCCAATCAATTGGATTTGGCCCTCAAATTGAAACTCCTTTGCCATTCACTACAATAGAGGTCATCCGTTGAAAAGTCCAATGACCTTCAGATCCATGCTACATTTCGGCATGTCGACACTGGTTATTAAATACTCTTTAGTTTCTCATTTCCTCCCCCATCCCCACCCAGCTGCTCATTAATCCAATTATGAGTTTCCTTTATCCAATCAAAGTTCCTGCCAAGTTGCAAAGCTCTTCTAGTGATTCATGATGCATTTGTCTTTAGTGATTAGAAAACCCAGCAGAAGATGCTGTCTCGTTCAGACGTCTCTGTAATTTGGAATGACCTCAGTTTGGTAGTGCCACACCCCACATGTGCCCTTTGAACACACTACAAGAACCTCCTTCCCAGTTTTTGCCCTGCAATTGGAGCCTTGCTCCTGTGTCACTCCCCAGCCTCTCCAGCAAAGCATTCAAGAGGCTCCTGAATCACGTCTGACTCTGAAGGCAGTGCCCAGGCCCTTCATTTTGGTCTCTGGGTCCTTGAACAGCAAGCTCATTTGCTGGCAGGAGCATCTGTCTCCATATGGGGAGACAGTCTTCAGATCTTCCTTGCTCTTCCCTTCATTAAGACATCAGCCTCACTCAGCCTTGCTCTTGGCTGCCAGATGCACTGACAAGCCAGCAGGAAAAGTTCCATCTAGAATAGGTCTGCTACCTTCTGAAGGCAGGAAAGTATCACTTTGCCTGCTGGGACTGGACCCATGCAGCCTTTGTGGGCCTCCTTCCAGCAGAGCCTTTAAAACATTCCATGAGTGCTGATTCTAGGCCTGCGGAGAGAGTCTCAGGGTGGTGCCATCTACAGCGTTTCAAGTGTCTCCCTTACTTTCACTCAAGGGAGGTGGAGTCCCTCCACCTCCTTGGCCATTTTCATCTGTCTCCTGGGTGTGTGCCACTGGCTCCCATGGCACCAGGCTACTTGGCAACACCCCGAGTTATGTTAGAGATATAATAATGAATTATACAATGCATTATACATAATTAATTTATAATGAAACACGCACGCAGTGGTTTAATTTCTCCAAGTGAATGATGTGCTACCCGCCAGATCCTGCTGGAACGCCTTCCCTAACTGACTGCTTCTTGGTCTGGAGGTGATGGCCAGCTGCCCTAGGGAGGGATCTTGGCTTGAGGAACCTGCCAGGTCGCATATTCCCCCTGGCTACCTCTGGAGTATGTACCACAGAAGAACAGCTTTTCATTGCATCTATTATTGTTCTAGGTCTGGATACTCATGAGGGTCTCACCCAAACTCTGCATTGTTTGAGAGCTGTTATGTTCTTCATTCTCCCAGTCTTTCTCCCAGAGTGTGGGAAATGCCTTTGTATTTATACCTTTCCCTCCCCATCTCCCTCCCTTCCTCCCTCATTTCCTTCCTTCCACAAATATGAAATAAATGAAGGAAAGAAGTGCCTATTATGTGAACTACCCTTGGCTTGCTGCATATCAGTGAATAAAACAGAGATCCTTGCCCAAGTGGAGCTTACACTCTAGCAGAGGGAGGCACACAATAAATTATAAGTGTAATAATAAGTAAATTACACCATACGTCATACAATGATAGGTGCCATAGAAAAAGAAAAAGCAGAGCAGGCTAAGGGCGATCAGCCATGATGGAGGCAGGTTGCAGTTTCAAGGAGGGTGGGCAGGGTAGGGCAGGGTTTGTGGAAAAGTAGCAGCCTAGGCACTGCCAAGCTCTCCATGAATAGGAGAGAAAGGCACTCTGGGCCTACCCAGGACTTTAATGTTCTGGGGTTGCTTTGGTTACAGGTTCTTTCAGTAACGTTTGTCACTTTTGGTTTCAGATGTCCAGGATGTTCCTGCTGCTGCTCTGGTTTCTGCCTATCACTGAGGGGTCCCAGCGGGCTGAACCCATGTTCACTGCAGTCACCAACTCAGTTCTGCCCCCTGACTATGACAGTAATCCCACCCAGCTCAACTATGGTGTGGCAGTTACTGATGTGGACCATGATGGGGACTTTGAGATCGTCGTGGCGGGGTAAGTGCCCCCCACCCTCAGCTTTTGCTGTAATAAGGCTGTGCGACAACTCCAAATCCCTGTGACTTGCAACAACATACGTTCTCGTAGGTCTGTGGTCGTCTGCTGGGCTCAGCTGGGGTTCTGGGATGCTGTGGCCTCGCCTTTTGCTACTGCAGTGAGTCAGGATGGAAGGAAGTTTGGAAGAAGGGTGTTTGATCCACAGGCTTTTCAGGGAGAAAACTGGAATGCTCTGCTTTAAGGCACTCTCTTCTCTTCATATTTAAGCCTACTTGATTATGCAGGTATTACTTCTTTACCAGTGGGGCTGTAGGATCTCTGTACAGGAAGGCCTTAAGGGTGACAATTATGGTGGAAGGGGATGCTCAAAGCTGCCTTTGCACAGCACTTTACGTAAGACTAAGAAAACATTAATTAACCATTTCAAAGAGGGGGGCAGATGGAAATTAAGAGGGACAGCTAAACCTCTGCTGCACATGCCTTGGTGCCCACGGCTCCCTTCTCTCCTGAAAACCAACATTGGGTTGCAAAAAAAGCATAAGACTAGGAATCCAAACAGCCTGAGTTCATGCCCTCAGATGTAAACGTTCTGGTTGTATGACCTTCAGTCTCTTACTCACTGAGATTCAGAGATATCCTCTGTAAAAAGGGGAATAACTGTAATGGCTTGTTGTCTTGAAGCCTTCATAGGCTATTGCATGTGACAGTGCATTGTAAATTTCTGCCAATCACCATTGACAATTACTGTGCACTGAGGGTGCAGTGGCTCACGCCTGTAATCTCAACACTTTAGGAGGCCAAGATCAGTGAATCACTTGAGGTCAGGAGTTCAAGACCAGCCTGGCCAACATGGTGAAATCCCGTCTCTACTAAAAATACAAAAATTAGCTGGGCATGGTGACACACGCCTGTAATCCCAGCTATTCAGGTGACTGAGGCACAAGAATTGCTTGAACCCAGGAGGCAGAGGTTACAGTGAGCCGAGACGGCACCACTGCACTCCAGCCTGGG